CTCAGTCAAATCTCTCTGCAGTCAACCAGAATGCCTCCTTTATCTTTATATCGTTTTGGAATAGATGTAAAAAGCACAGTTTATTTGGACAAGGTGAACTACTGCTCAAGCTGGAGATGAGTATGAACTTGCTCAAGTCAGGTCCAAAGGTATACAAGAAATTTTGAAGGTTTTTTTCAGAGATGAATTTAATGCATTTTGCATTTATTGGGGAATGGAGAGGAAGGAAGAAATTTTGATTAACAGTCAAATGATAAAACTGGTATTGCACTATTTGCTCTATCTCACTGCCTACAGGTCCAGTACAAACATGAAGAACAAAAAAACCACACGATGGGTATACGTGGTATAGAAAAGGCATTCCACCTACATTTGGTTCTAAATAAGCTATCTAGTCTCAATCTGGTCACAGCAGTAATAAAGTGAACACAGGCTACTTATTTAGGAAGAGAAATAACACAACCAATCTGTTTCCAGTACTTAGAATCTCCTTTAAAGCCAGTTAAAGTATTGTGACACTCAACGATAGTCTGCAGTGATGCATACATATTAAGAAATCTACTCTTCTCAAAAAATAAAAATGTTTCAAGAGAGAAAACACTCTCAAACCTGAAAAGACTGCAGCTATGCTAAACTTCAATTCAGAAAACCAAAATTAATTTGTGCCACATTTATAATAAAAATACATACTAAATGTATTGTTGAAGATCTGCTTCAAGAGTAAATATAGCTGGTTTTAAAACAAAACATTTGAGAAAGCATGTGTGAATTAATTTGCAGCCTTGAATCTGCTTCCTCTGTGACACCTTCATTCCAGATTATGTGGGAAAGGAACCCTTTTTCTACTCAGCCAACCTTTACCAGAATTCTAAAACAGAGAGCCTTTCTAATTCCAAAATGCCATAGTGGTTCGATTTTGGATGATCATTACATAAAAAGCGTTCCATCTCAAGAAGAGTTTAAGCACTAAGTGATCTGGAACTTATGGTCTCTATACACTCAGATGATTCAATTCCCTACAGCACTAGACCATGAATATATTAAGAAGAACATAAATAAACTTGCATGAAAAGCAGTATAACCTTTAAAATGGTGGCATTAAAAATACAGTATAGCTTTTTCATGCCCCTAACAGACATCACAAACACCTTCAGCACCAGACTTCCCTACAGTATTTTAATTTTTGTCATTCTCTTTTTTTCAACAGGTTACCTGTGAGACGTCTGGAAAGAACCTCTCTAATATCCCCACTAACCTTTTCCAAAACATTACTAAATTAAGCCTCAAAAATAATAAAATTATTTTAAAAGATAGTGACAAAGAGATTCTTCAAAGTTTTATTAACCTCACTGAACTTTATCTGAATGAAAACATGATTACTGTACTGTATAATGACAGCTTCTGCAATCTGACAAAACTTGTAATTCTGGATATCAGCAACAATCATATTAGCAGAGTCCATAAAGCAGCATTTGCAGGATTAAATCAACTGTCAGTGTTGAATCTAGCCTATAACAAAATTACTCAACTAGATTCAGATGTATTTACTTCGCTAAAAAATCTGACAGTTTTAAATCTACAGTATAACTTTCTGAAATCTTTGAATATAAAATCATCTTTTAAATTGATTAGAATTGCTTTAGCTGGAAACCCATGGACCTGCTCCTGTGACCTCCTTGATTTACAGATATGGCTAACTGCCTCCAATGTGACAATGGGTAAGTTTTAGTAAGAGCAGCATTTCATACTTTTTTATATCAAACAGACTTATTTTTTTTTCTGGTCTGGATAATATCCATCATCATCTTATCTGTATTTTGCAATAATACATTAGTTACATATGGTTTGGTTTTTTTTTTTAGTTAGACTGCCAATTAATTAACATTTCATAGCCCTTCCACTGCTCACATTCACAGAAAATGAAGACAACACTACCTGTATATTTCCAAACACCATGAAAAAATTGTCCATCATGACAGCAGCTATCCAACCAGATGACTGCAAAATTGAAAAAGCTTCTTCAGAACACACTATAACTTCCACTTCTGTCATTATGCTTAAAAGTAGTGCCTTACTAACAGCTTTGACTCCAAACAACAGCACTGGAAACAATGGAACACATGCAGGTAATATACTGATGTTTTGCTTTACCACTTACAAGTTGTTTGATTTGCCATTCCACAATTTCATATTGGTTTGTATTCCTAGTACACTGTAATTCTTCCACAAAAGCCAGGGCTTCAGAACAAACACATTTCCAGGTTTTGGTATACACAGACTATGGTGAATATGTATGAAATACATGTTCAAAATGGATAAACCACACATGAATTCTCAAATGATACTACACACGTGATGAAATTTCAAAGGCTTGAAATTCAGATAATCATACTGATCTCTGCCTAACTAGCAAAAAAAAAAAAAATCAATTACTTCTCCCAAACTAATTGCTTTCTAGACATAGCTTTTGTCTTAAAATGTGAGTGAACCTATTAATTTACTCCCACATTCAACTGTATTCAGTGTAAAGGACATGGATGTGCACATCCCATATTCTTTGAAAATTACAGTGATAGTCTCCTTACTTTTCATCACTATTTGATGTTAATTTCATCATCACTCTGTAACACTTGAGCTCTTCTTTTGGTAAAGTCTTTTTTTTTTTTTACATGCAAATTATGTTCTTCTCCACTCTTCCATACTGAAATGCTTTACTTCTTGCTTCTGGCTAAAGCAGAAGAAATACCAATCTCCAAATACATACACAAATTTAAGGCACCACTGCCACACACTACTTTTGCTTTATAATCTATCTTAGGAGAGTAGCTAGCATACAAAATCAGCTTTTAAATGAAGACTACTTGCAACTACAGTCTATTTAAATTTTTATTATAAAAGAAATACAATTGAAAGGATATTCCAAACAAAAAATGTAATATTTTAGGGTGCAGACATCATCACTGTACAGAAATTTAAGCCTGAGAAATTGAATTTGAAGTCAATTACTGTTTTGCTTTTTCCAAAGTCCAATCTTGGAATTTAAATATTGAAAAAAAAAAATTATTTAATCTTTTATATGTCCCTAGAACTTTGTCTGACTTTGAAACTATTATTTTCCATAAATATGTACGATGGATTTATATTGCTAGGAAATGGAGATGTACGTGCATTTTTGGTCAGATTGATGTTTCTGACTCTCTAATAACATAGCAATAACATTCTACTGAATCTTTGGAGATGCTCAGTAAATTCCCCTATCATTGTTTATTTTGTGAGTTCTCAATTTAAGTATGAAAAAACTCATATTAGAGTTCTTGCTAGTATTCCTCATGAAGATTACTCTTCTTTTTTTTCCTGTTTTAAAGAGTTACCACTTCTTGGCAAAAGTTGGACCTTCCTAGCGGGTGTCCTAGGGTTTGTCCTAACCACTACACTCCTGATTTTTACTGCTATAAAATGCCCAACATGGTATCACTATTTCATCAGCTACAGTCACCGTCGTCTGGAAGAAAATGACTCAGAAATGTCTGAACAGGAGCTCTCAGCTGACACGAGTTCTTTGCCTACAGTATCGTGTACAAACAGTGAGGATCCCATAGTAATATTTGAGAAAATTCATACATTTGTGCCTGCGGAAGATGGATTTATTGAGGATAAATACATAGATTCCTATCTGACTGAAGAGAGTTAATGTCTTAAACAATGGATGTTGAACTGACTTTTCAAAACTTGTACTTCTGTATTACGCTACTTATGTACAATAGAAAATGAAGCTAAGCAATCCATCTCCTTTCATCTCGTCAAATTCCTAACAAGATACTGGTGCATGAATCACAAAATGAAAAGATGTGGTGATGTGCATGCATTAGTGGCACAACAAATATTTCGAAGCATGCTAAAAATACTCATAATCCACCTTTTATAAAAACCTATTTGGTTACTTATGGTGGGGAGGGGGAGAGCTTACTGTATATTACTTAACAGGAACAAGTCTTCACAAAGCAGCTTGTGAAGTTGGCATAATCACTAATGCTTTAATTTTGAAGAAGTCCAGAAAGAAGAAATAATTTCTCTAAAATACTGAAGCAGACCACAACTAGACTGGAGATTGAATCCAAATCAGTGGTCTCACAGCTTACCAGTGTATCAGGCAAAACTAACAGAATCAGAGAATAGAGCATTGTTGGGTTTTCTTTACCTGAATTAGCAGAGCATGAAAGACCAACTGCTCCATTCCCTTAAATGTGTCTACATGCAGTACAATAAAATATCATCACCACATATCTAATGCATTTATGCCATAGTTTGCTACTGAACCAAGTTTTTTCTTTTTGTATTTTTTTAACACTTAAAAACGCCTTCATGGATAGAAGAGACACATTTGAAAAAGTGACATTATTAAATTGTAAACTGTTTTTAAAAAAAGTGCTTATTTATACATGATATCTCATCACTGAGATTGCTTTTGGTGGCAACAAGTAGAATCATATCTTTTTCTCTTAAGCATCTCCTGTCCATAAACATCTCATCCTCTCAGCCTATCACTACACAAACCATTCTCATGGCTTACAAATTATTACTGCAAGCATCTCACTGTCCTCATCTTCCCATTCACACCCCCCCTTATCAGACAGGAATATTCCCATTCCAGCTTGCTTTCCCTACTCTGCTACTCTACAATATAACCTCCAAAATGCAGGATCCTGGCAGCAGGTTGCCAAAAGACAGTAGTCTCCATTGCCACCTAACTCCTCCTGAATGACATGGTTAAGTATCTCCACAGCAGTTACTCAGAAGAGTTTAAAGCTAGGAACAATAGCTGTAGCCTGGCACTGCTGTATCAACTTGAAATTACTCAGGTACCACTTGTGGTATGCATTGCACTATTAAGGAAATTCTGAATCAGAGAACAACATCAATTTTGTGAAGTTCAGTTAAGATTTTAAGAGCTTTGGTGAAGGATACATAACACGCTTTGGAGAAGCATACATTGTACTTACGCTTGTCTTTCTGTGAAAATTTTATCCACGCTCTGAGCATCTCGGTCATTCTGAACCTTTAACTTAAAAGAAAAAAAAAAAGATATTTTGATATAATATATAATAATAAACAGATTTTATATACAAATTCAAAGTTTCCTTTAAATGAGCAAGAAGCTGCTCAGAATGCAGTAGAGGAAGAGCAGCAGAGGGTGCCTGCTCCAGTTTTTTCTTAGTTGACACTGAGGAAAGACCTGAAATTGCAGTCTTCTACGGGAAAACAAAGAAAGTAAGAAGGTATCTCTAAGTTTGAAAAAGAAATACAATCAAGTTTGTAATAAATCAATTCACTTACTATTATTGTGGGATCTACACTAGCCTACAGACAGAATGAAAATGTTACACTTGCAAAGCATTCTTCTCTTCATGACACAGACAACTGTGACTTCATTTTTCAATCAAATGCAGGGAAAAAAATATTGTTTTGACTGAGAAATACTAAGGTGGTTTTTCAAGCTATCAAAATAACCTTTTCTAAAACTAGTTTCTTTTGCTTATGGGCAAAGTGATCATAAGAAATGGAACATGCTTAATGCCACTCATGCCTTAATACTTAGGGGAACACTCTATCTGTGTTAGAAAATAAAGAAAGTAAAGGAAGAACAAAGCTCATTGATTTGTGATTGGCCATGTCAGAGACGTACTTAATATTTATTACACTGGAGTAATTCAAAAGGCAGAAGACAAAAAGAGAACTACATTTCCAGAAGACCAGGCAGCTTTACAAGGCAGTGGAGTCCAGTGTATCTGCACTTCATAAGACTAGTGTTTTGTGCTCCCAAGACAAATAAAGAAGATATTTTAACACTCATAATTAGGGTTGGGATGACATCCTTTTCAGATCTAAAATACAAAAAGGTATCAAGGGGCTGTTAATGCAACACTTCAGACAATTGTCCCACTACAAATATGTTGCAAATATTATGCTTAACTTAACTAGAAAAAATGGGTAAGTTTTAAATTACTGATATATTTTTAGGTATGTCATACTGATACAGAGAAATGATTACTTGTTTTGAGATTTATTTACTTATTTACTTAAAGAAAACTGCTTAGCAACATTTACTTATTTATAACAAGTTACAGTATTTTTTTAAATATTGCTAAGAATCCTGCTTGCCCAGACTGTTCTGTGGAATTTCACCAAGGACTACAGTGTTCATCAAAACAAAGCAGTTCACTGTGAAAATCTACCAAGGATTACAATGTTCAGCAAAATATTGTACTTTTGGCTTTAGTAACTTGTGGCTCTGACTAGCTGGAATTTTGCTAATGAGTAAAGATAGCCATATACGAATGGTAGAAGTTCTATTGGTTCTCTTAGATGAGATAGAAAGTAAACTGTCTGAAAAAAACTCTTGTGATTCAAGAAATTGTCCAAGAGAATCTGCGCATGCTCTGGGGAAAAATCAAAGTGAGAAGACTACGAGCCTTCCTCCCAAAGACCCCCAAAGATGCCCCCCAGGAGGCAATGCCCAGGTGCAAAGATGACAAACTGCTGACATCAGCCTTTCGAACTACCCCAGCCTTACTCATGCATATGTATGTTTGTGTTATGTAACCCAATGAATACGGATATCCACACTCTATGAGTTTCTTGTAAAATGTGCAGTGGGTGTGCAAGCTTTGTGGAGAGATCCCCTTGCACCCCGGTGCTGGAGTAAACATACCTGATTTATAACTCTATTCGAGTTGTAAAGTCTCTTTTCTGCAAACCAATACATTTAAAGCACCAAGAATGTGACACACACCATTTCACTGTTCTAACATAGCAAACAACGTAATATTTACCATATTGTAATCTCGAATAACTTCTGAAATATCCATATTGGTGTTAAGTATATCCACAACCTGAAATGACACAGAATCCCAACCTGTTATTGCTCTCCCTTTTTTTTAATTGCACAGAACAGAATCAGACAAATATGTACCAACTCACAAAGCACTCATGAAAACACATCAAAATTCTGTTATTGCAAATAGAAAAAACATGATTTGTGAATCTGAATACATGCAGTTTTCAAATGTAATCATCAATATATGTAGTTGTATTAAACCCAAAAATATTATGCAGCAGTAATTTCTTAAATCCATATGAAACAAAGTCTCCTAATGTATTTTACACTTCCTTTTTTTCTTTTATATTTTTCTTCGTTTCCATCTGTCCTGGTTCAACCAGGATAGGGTTGTTTCCCCAGCAGAGAGAGAGGGGGAAGGGATCTCCAGCCGGGTAATTCATACCATGCTGATGTCAGGTCCAGGGGCGGGAAACTCTGATTTTACTTTCTCTTTGGCTTTTCGGTGGCGGGACCCACGCGCCGGGTTTGTTCCACAACCATTTGTGGTATTTCTCTGTGTATCGTTTGTCTTGTTCACATTGCTGTTTATTGTTGTTATGACTGCTACTGTTGTTGTTCAGATTGTTTGTCACACTGTTGTATTAAATTTCTTCTTTATTTTAACCCGGGGTTTGTGCCTCACTGCCAGCCCGACCGGCTGAGGGTGGGGGAGGGACAACATCAACGTGCTCTCCAGTCCCGGCAGGGCTTAAACCAACACAGCCTTAATTAGTGCACGATGTGGGGCTGAAATAAGAATAAAAAGGGACAGACCCTGACCAGAGTGTGATAGAGCAATCTGTTGGGTGTAATTTTTCTTTGTATTTGTTTGATAAGAAAATATTTGCAATGCTGGCCCACTTGCTTGTGTGGTGGGGCTGGATTACTCCTTATATCCAGTGTATGATCCCTGTGGTGGTGTTTGTTATCGGTGGAAAACGTCTTATGTTGTTATACTGGCTCCTGACCGCTTATAATGCCTTTGTATTGCTGTGTGTGTGTGTGGGCCGGTACCTGTTTGCCGTTTGGGCTTTTGTTAAGGGTCTCATCCCCTCTATGGGTGAGCCAGGGGAAGGGATCCTCTCGGCTTTGGGGAGTTTCAATTATCCTTGGAGCCTGCAGGCCAATGTGATTGTGGCACAATGCTTTCTGAATGCCAGCCTGATTTCGGTTTTGGCCATGCAGCATTTCTCTAACAACAGCAGTGCCCGGAAACCTGCCCCAAGGTCAGATAATAGTGAGTGGCAAGGGGTGTGGGAAAAGATGGGCAAAGGCCTGAGCCGGTGGGCACCTCCAATGCTTTGGAATTTCACTCCCGAACAAATGCAGAGCCCTGAAAAGCTGATGGAGTGCCTAGAAAGGGTGTATTACCAAGCTGGCAAAACCCAGGAGACACAAATCGCTGCAATGTGTTGGGGACTTGCCCATGCCTACCATGTCCTCTTTAATAACACCCACAGCCCTCAAGGGGGAGAAACGGCTGCAGAAGCTGAAACAATATCTGGACTGGGGGTACAGGCAGAGCCAGACTCAGTCACCTCCACCACCACAGCAGCTGAGCCAGAGAGCCAGCCACTGCCAGTTGTCAGTCGCCCCGATACAGAAAACAAAATATACCAGAAAGTCAGTTCACAGAGTGAGGGATGAGGATGAGCCAGGCCCATCATAGGAACAGGAGGAAGGACCAGAGGTGATCATCCGATTTCTGTCCCCAACTGAGCTGCGAGATATGTGGAGAGATTTTGGCCGACTGGGAGGCAAGCAGATTTACACCTGGCTGCTCCGATGCTGGGACAATGGAGCCAGTGCTTTTGAGATGGAGGAGAGAGAGGACAAGCATCTGGGATCTTTGGCCAAGGATGCTGGCATTGATAGGGAAATAGGGAAACAGACTCAAACCCTCAGCCTTTGGAAGTGACTCCTGCTCAGTATAAGGGAGAGGCACCCCTACAAGGATGATATCCTATGTCAGCTGGGCAAATGGACCAGCATTGAGAAAGGCATCCAGAACCTCAGGGCACTGGCTGTGTTTGAGATGATCTATGGTGATCTGAATGATGAGCAGTCACCCATGGACCCAGATCAGGCCCCTTGCACACACCTGATGTGGTGAAAGTTCCTGCAGAGCGCACCAGAAGCACACTCGAAAGCATTGGCAATAGTGTCCTGGTGGACAGACACCCACACTCTAACAGTGGATGGAGTGGTTGGCAAGCTCCGGCAATATGAGGGAAATTTCCCTTCATCTCAACATTCCTGAGTCTCAGATGTGGAGGAATTGTATCAGAGGGTCCAGAAAGTGGAAGAGGACATGTCCTACATTCCACCTAAACGGGCTGATGTCTCAGCCATTAGAAGTAAACGTTTCCCCACCCAAGAGAAAGGCAGCAGAAGTTACACACCACGAGGCACCCTGTGGTTTTTCCTCTGCAACCATGGAGAAAACATGAGGAGGTGGGATGGACAGCCCACTGCTGCCCTGGCTGCACGAGTAGAGCAGCTGAAAGGGAAGACCATCACAAAAGGGGAGTCCTCCAAGAAGAGCGCAGCTCCAGTGTCCAGTCAGAAATCCCCCAGGCAGAATAGAATGGCCAACGTTATGTCTGACCCTCTTGAGGGGACCAGTAAATCATTCTTTCAAGAAGTGAGTGATACTGAGCAGGATTAGAGGGGCCCTGCCTCCAGCCAGGTGTAGGAAAGGGATAATCGGATTTACTGGACAGTGTGGATCCGATGGCCTGGCATGTCAGACCCAAGAGTATGCGGCTTTGGTGGACACTGGCGCACAGTGCACCCTGATGCCATCGAGCTCCAGTGGGGTTGAATCCATCTGCATCTCCGGAGTGACAGGGGGATCCCAACAGCTGACCCTACTGGAAGCTGAAGTGAGCCTGACTGGGAAGGACTGGCATAAGCACCCCACTGTGACTGGCCCAGATGCCCCGTGCATCCTGGGCACAGACTATCTCAGGAGAGGGCACTTCAAAGACCCAAAAGGGGACCGGTGGGCTTTTGGTGTGGCTGCCCTGGAGGGGGTTGAACAGTTGTCCACCTTACCCGGCCTCTCAGAGGATCCCTCAAGTGGTGGGGAACCTTAAGGTTGAGGAGCAGCGAGTGACGATTGCTACCAGGACGGTGCACTGGCAGCAGTACCGCACCAACCGAGATTCCCTGGTCCCCATCCATCGGCTGATCCGTCAACTAGAAAGCCAGAAGGTGATCAGCAAAACTCACTCACCCTTCAACAGCCCTGTATGGCCAGTGAGAAAGCCTAATGGTGAATGGAGGCTAACTGTGGGCTACCGTGGCCTGAATGAAGTTACGCCAGCAATGAGTGCTGCAGTGCCAGACATGCTGGAGCTCCAGTATGAACTGGAGTCGAAGGCAGACAAATGATATGCCATGACTGACATTGCTAACGTGTTCTTCTCCATTCTGATAGCACCAGAGTGCAGGCCACAGTTTGTGTTCACTTGGAGAGGCATCCAGTACACCTGGAATCGACTGCCCCAGGGGTGGAACCACAGCTCCACCATTTGCCATGGACTGGTCCATACTGTACTGGAGAGAGGTGGGGCTCCAGAACACCTGCAGTACATTGATGACATCATTGTATGGGGGGGACACAGCCGAGGAAGTCTTTGAGAAAGGGAAGAAGATAACTAAAATCCTCCTGAAGGCTGTCTTTGCCATTAAGTAAAAGAAAGTCAAGGGGCCTGCAAGGGAAATTCAATTCCTAAGAATAAAAAGGCAAGATGGGCATTGCCACATCCCAATGGAAGTAATAAGATCACAGCCATGGCCCCACCAACCTCTAAAAAGGAGACTCAGTCTTTCCTGGGCGCTGTGGGGTTCTGGAGGATGCACATCCCCAACTACAGCCTGATTGTGAGCTCTCTCTACCATGTAACCCGTAAGAAGAACGATTTTGAATGGGGCCCTGAGCAACAACAATCCTTTGAACAGATTAAACGGGAGATCGCCCAGGCAGTTGCCCTCGGGCCAGTCCGGGAAGGGCAGGAGGTTAAGAACATGCTCTACACCGCAGCCAGGGAGAACGGCCCTACCTGGAGCCTCTGGCAGAGAGCACCTGGGGAAACCCGAGGCCGACCTCTGGGCTTTTGGAGCCGGGGATACAAAGGCTCTGAAGCTAATTACACACCAACTGAGAAGGAGATACTGGCAGCATACGAAGGAGTTCGGGCTGCCTCAGAAGTGTTCGGCACTGAAACACAGCTCCTCCTGGCACCCCGACTGCCGGTGCTGGGGTGGATGTTCAAGGGAAAGGCCTCCTCCACGCATCATGCAACCGATGCCACATGGAGAAAATGGGTTGAGTTGATAACCCAACGGGCTCGAATAGGGAACCGCAGCCTCCCAGAGATACCAGAAGTGATCACGAACTGGCCAGAGAGCAAAGATTCCGGGATGTCACCAGAACAGGAGGTGACATGTGCTAAGGAGGCCCCACCATATAACACGCTGCCGGATGAGGAGAAGCGATATGCCCTGTTCACTGATGGGTCTTGTCACATTGTGGGAAAACATCAACGATGGAAGGCGGCTGTGGGGAGTCCCACATGACGGGTCACTGAAGCTGCTGAGGGATAGGGTGAATCGAGCCAGTTTGCAGAGGTGAAAGCCATCCAGCTTGCTTTGGATATTGCTGAGTGGGAAAAGTGGCCGAGGCTCTACCTCTACACCGACTCGTGGGCAGTGGCGAATACCCTGTGGAAATGGCTGCAGCAATGGAAGCAGAACAACTGGCAACGTAAGGGTAAAACCATCTGGGCTGCTGAAGTATGGCAGGACATTGCAGCCCATGTGGAAAACCTCATTGTGAAGGTGCGCCATGTGGATGCCCATGTACCCAAGAGTCGGGCCACTGATGAACATCGACACAACCAGCAGGCAGACCAAGCTGCTAAGATCAGAGTGGCTCAGGTGGACTTGGACTGGCAGCGCAAAGGTGAACTGTTCATAGCCCGGTGGGCCCATGAGACCTCAGGCCACCAAGGCAGGGATGCAACATACAGGTGGGCTCGAGATCGAGGGGTGGACCTCACCATTGACACCACTGCAGAGATCATCCACGGATGTGAGACGTGTGCTGCAATCAAACATGACAAGCGGGTGAAGCCCCAGCGAAATGAAGAGCGATGGCTGAAATATAGATATGGAGAGGCCTGGCAGATTGACGACATCACACTGCCACAGACCCGCCACAGGAAGCGCCACGTGCTCACAATGGTGGAAGTAACCACTGGGTGGCTGGAAGCTTACCCAGCGCCCCACGCCACTGCCCAGAACACCATCCTGGGCCTTGAAACCCAAGTCCTGTGGTGACACGGCACCCCAGAGAGAACTGATTCAGACAATGGGACTCACTTCTGAAACAACCTCATAAATGCCTGGGCAGAAGAACAGGGCATCGATCCGTCTACCATATCCCCTACCACGCACCAGCCTCTGGGAAGATCGAGCGCTACAATGGACTGTTAAAAACCACATTGAAAGCACTGGGAGGTGGGACCTTCAAAGACTGGGACATGCATCTACCAAAGGCCACCTGGCTAGCCAACACAAGAGGATCTGCCTGTCGAGCTGGCCCGGCTCAGTCGAGACCTCCACGTGCTGTAGATGAGGATAAAGTCCCTGTGGTGTGAATGAGGAATATATTGGGAAAACTGGTCTGGTTTTAGTCCTGCGCCAGGCAAAGGTAAAGGCAAACCCATCCACGGGATTGCTTCTGCCCAAGGACCTGGGTGTACCTGGTAGGTGATGCAGGACAATGGAGAGGTCCAATGTGTACCACAGGGGGACTTGATTCTGGGTGTGAACATGCCGTGAATTATGCTGTGCCTTTGTAAATTATTGCTTTGTTATTGCTAACTGCTAAATGGCAGCTGGACATGATGCAGATGGTATAGAAGAAAGGGGTGGATTATGTTCTGGTTCAACTAGGATAGGGTTAACTTTCCGCAGCAGAGAGAGAGGGGGAAGGGATCTCCAGCCGGGTTATTCATACCATGCTGATGTCAGGTCCAGGGGTGGGAAACTTTGATTTTACTTTCTCTTTGGCTTTTTGGTGGTGGGACCCACGCATTGGCTTTGTTCCGTGACCATTTGCAGTATTTCTCTGTGTATCATTTGTCTTGTTCACTGTTATTGATGTTGTTATCATTGCCACTGTTGTTGTTCAGATTGTTTATCACACTGTTGTATTAAATTTCTTCTTATTTTAACCCGGGTTTGTGCCTCACTGCCAGCCCGACCGGCTGAGGGTGGGGGAGGGGCAACAGCATCGTGCTCTCCGGTCGCGGCAGGGCTTAAACCAACACACCATCTTTTTCCTTTCCAATAACTGAAAAGGCAGTATTAACCAGTACATCTTTACAGAACCATGTCAATAAAAAAAGATTAAAAAGCAGCATACCATGTTGTAGTCTGCTAGCTGACCTTGAAATTCTTTGATTTCACCAGCTAAAGACTCTGCCCTAAGTACAAAACAAAAAGTTAAACTTAAGGTGGAAAGATTTGTATATGTAAAAATAAAATGATAAAACCAATTATTAATGGTTCCTGGAAGCCTGCAAAATACTCAAGAATAGCTTATGACTGAGAATGTTAGCACTGCATTAGCTGCAATAAATCTCACCTTTTTTCATATGACAAATAGACAGACTTCTCTTGCTTGTACATTTCTACTTCTTCCTGCAGCTTGTTAATTTCTGTTGTGAGCTCATTTGTTTTGCTTCTGAAAAAAAAAAAAAAAAATCATTAACATTTGAAGGTACAACTAAACCAGATAGAAATTATATTTTACTATAGGAGATGTGCAGTCAGTATCTCTTTCTTATACTGCACCATGTTTCAAATCAGTATTTCAAAGAAGAGCTGGACAAGTAAGGAAAAAAAGCAGAGTGGTTCTATCAGATAAAATCTCAGAAGTTGTTAGAATGCCTGGATATGAAATAACTGTTTTAATTAGCTTTTTGTCCCTGCTGCTGAAACAGATGTGAATTATTCTCAAATGGACAGGAAAAAAAAGTAATTTCACAGAATGTGGATACAATCCATATTTAAAATGGCATCTTTTAGGATTGATTTTATTCAACAAAATCATATTTATTCAATATTTTATTCAACATCACAATATGATCAACTGACAGGAGTATGCAATACAGTTTCTGCAAAGCCTTGCCTTTGACAATGCTAGTTCAATGTATAATCCAAGTAAACCACCCGAGACGTACACTAAAAAGTGCTTAGTTTGTGACACTACTCCTTACTAATGAAGTTATCAGACTTATCAAGCGTTACAGGTGGAAGTTCAAAATCACTGACCTTCCTTTTTCTAATGCTGTGGGAGTGTATTTAACTTAGCAAGCCTAATAACAAAATGTCAAAGAAATCTACTTGTACTTGCACATAAGCATAAGATTCCTTTCCTCCTACAAACTATATGCAAAATGATCTTAACTCTTACAACAGGACAGATTTAATTGTATGTGAACACCACTTATCCCTTGCTACTGTTAAGCACAACAAACTTCATGTCAGAAAGGGAACAGAGCACTAAACCTTCTGCAGTTTGAATATGACGTTAAGACATACCTCAGCAGTCCAAGGTAGTATGTTTTATCCATTATCTGTCTCTGAGGACCTGACAAAGGAGAATGATATTTTGTTAAAAAACAACTAATTTCTATGAACTGTAAATTATGGAAACAGTCTGCAGAATTTGCAGGCAAAGAACTGCCATCTTCTCGGTGTTCTTACAACAGATTTTACTGCATTAAAACAAATGAAGGCAGAAATTAATTTTAGACTGCTGTGAAGATAAACATTACTTTTTCAGCTATATGAATAGTTACTATATAACGGTATTTTAAGTATTCTGCAGTGATGGGAGAAGACACAATTTATTTTATTCTATTCTTTCGAATGATTTTTAAGGACAGCTCAGACACAGAAAAGATTTTGTATTTTCTGACTGCCAACAGCAAAGAAATAAGAGGGATGCTTTAATCTTCTTTTCTCCTACTCCTATTAATCATAAACCATTCTACAGTTTACATGGCAATGAAAAGTTTCCCTTTAAAAACCTAAATATTCCTTTAAAATGTTTGCAGAGACCTTAATAGCTAATTTCAATAAAAAAATACCTTTCATTGCAGTTTTCATTCCACTTAATCCCTGTTGAGTAACTGGACGGTCTGCAACTTTAATCTGAGATGATAAGACTCCAGTAGCTGAAGAACCACCACGAGAACCAGGTCTTGAAGAACTAGGAAGCATCTATAACAAAAACAAAATACAAACCTCCCAACTCCAAATTATGAATTTATTATCTTTATGCAATTGCCAAAGCAATTAAAAATTCAAGTTAGTCTCTATACTATTTCTATAATTATCTTTTAGCATTTATATCTCTTCAGGGAAACAAAGCTTCAAACAAATGTCTGCTGCAGAAGTGCAAGAGATCACCTTTGAGCAGCTGTTCCTTGTTCTCTGTCTGCAACATTAATGCTATTAAGGTGTTCCAGGTGAACTCGATGTAAGACCTCCTTGATCCCCTTCAGTCAAAATTATAAAATAAAATTATCTACAAAACTAAAATCTTAAAATTCTTCCCACAAAACTATCACTCCAGTTACGATACTAAAAAGTAACAAAAAAAAAAAAAGTCTAAATATATTTGAAGTTAATGTTAAACATTGTCATACCCCTGTTCCTATTCTGGTTGCTGATGGAGTCCTTGATGAAGAGGTAGGCCTTGCGGTCAACCCTATTCCTGCTCTTGAAGAAGGACGAGCTATTGGAGGTCTGTGACCACTGGCCATATTTGTTCTTTTTGAACTTCTCTCTGGGAAGGATAGAAACAGTCCTTTAATTTGCACAAGTTCTTTAAAACTACCAGAGATCAACTCTTTAAAGCTTAATTCCTCTCCGTATTAAAAGGAGTTTAGTTTTCTTTAGAAATCGGCAAATCACTTGCTTACTGGAAAGGCATGGTACGAGACAGAGACAGTGCTCAGAAAGGACCACAGCAGGTCCTTGAGTAAGGCGAGACAGCAGTCCCTTTTCAGTGCGCTGCCAGTCCTCTGGTTATAGTTAAACTCCCTGTAATTCCTGTGGCATTTATTGTTTCAGCATCTGCCCACAGAATTCCAGCCTCTCTCTCATGAAACAAACTCGAAGTTAACAACTGCCGCAAATACCCACTGGGGTTATCTGGAGAGAGTCCTTCAGGCATCATCAGTCACCAACGCAAACCCAGACCGCGCTACCCCGATAAATCCTGGCAGCTCGCACCAGTCCCTCGAGGAGTTCCTGGCCAGCCGCGGCACAGAGCCCTTTTCGAGCGCTGACGCCGCCAGGCAGCTTCTCGGAGGCACCTGTGAGACGGCGATACTGTCGGCCATGACCTGAAGAGCCAGGACACCCGCCGGCACACTAAAAACCCGGCCCCGAAAGGCTGAGGGCGTCTGGAGCCGGGGAGGCGCGGCGGTGGCGGCGCCAGTGGCCCTTTGCTACAGAAGCGGGAAGCGCCGCGGAGCCGCAGACAGGCGCGGGACCCGCTCCCCGGCCGGCACCAACCCCCCGCTCC